TCTAGTCCCATGGCCCCACGCCAGCCCTCCACCACCCCCAGAACCAAGCACGTGGAAGGGGGGCAATAGCATGTCCCTATCAAATGGTTCCCCATTGAGCCCATTGGGAGCTGCCTGGTCCTCTCCTGCTGATGGCATGCCGTGGCAATCTGGGAGAGCACAGTACCTGTCCTCAGTAGCCACTTGCCTTTGATTGTGATCCTTCCTTTAACAGCAGCGTGTGTTTAACTGCTGTGTTCCTCCAGCAGCTGCAAAGGGCTCTGCAAACAGGCCATCTCTACACCACCCTCTGGGACAGGCAACAGCTCCAGGTTTCTGAAGGTTCAGAGACGTTCTTATCAGAACAAAGGGTCTCTCCATGCAAGGTGATCTGGAGCAAGAGAAACCCCTTCCAGCCCTATAATCATCCCCAAGGGATGGCTGAAAGGAATCCAAGATATGGACGGAAGAAATCAAGGCAGCAGATGAGAAATGAATGCACCTTGTGTCCATAGGATAGGTTTGCAGGAACAGGCTTACAGGAACAGGCTGGTCATGGCCTTGTTTGCATGGATGGCTTGTGTCTGGGAATAGCAAGCATGGGGTCTGCAAGTTAACTAGGACCTTGCCAGTGCCCCGAGTGGTATTAGGATGGGGGTGAGCTGTGTTGGCCACAGCACTTGTCTGTAAAACCTAGGGAATGGTAAATCCAGCTTTGCTTATTAGAGCTCAGTGCATGGAGGAGAACCAGGAAGCTCTGTTTTGGGTGTCACAGTCCTGCTCGGTGATAGTCAAGAAGCTTCGGAGATGTTGTACAGGGGGTAACTCCATCAGCCCTTTAGAAGAACGGGTGGCACCAAGGGACTACTTCTCTCCCATCCCTCTCATGTCACCTTGCAGAAGGGTCACAGCACTAACATGCTGCTTTCAGCCACCATGTGCTGCCTCCCCTGCCCTCTAGGAGGACCTCAGCTGAACCGTCCCCCACCTCCCCAGGGCACAGGGCTCCCAAAGGCCACACTGCTTTTGCCCATGTGCAGTTTCAAAGGAGGGAAGAGGCAAGCTGCCAGCGCCAAAATGTCCCTCTGACATTTTCAGGAGGAATGCAACTGCAGACTTGGACTGTACTGTGTGTGTCTCAGGTAGTGCAAGCTACAAAACAGGAGCGCAGACTGAACCGATCATTTTTATCACCCTCAAAGACTTCTAATTCCTGCCTGGGAGACTCTCATCAAGTCAGGGAGGCTTTGAGCCTTGCCAGAAGAAAAAAAATATTGGTGTACTGAGGTTCACAGTGAAATGAAATGCCCACTCTGTGCACAACTGTGGATTAGACCATCAGTGGTCATGTACTGATCTATTCCTATCCAGAACAAATTATAAAAATGGAGCCCTTTCACAGCAAGCAGTAAACCCCAGTAACTAATGCTAGGTTAGGTCTGGCCTAGTGTGTCCTCAGGAGAGGCCCCATCAGCAGCTTTGTGTTAGCTGGGAAGGAATCATCCCAATTTGAGCCACTGACAGATTTAAAAAAAAAAAACCCCAACATTATCTTCTCTGTGATGTCTGCTGGCAGGAAATGTTAAACCACTTATTTATAACTATCTTCCCGAAATGCTTCCTTGCTTGGAAGCCAAACTACAAATCCTGTTTGGTTTGTTGTCTTTAACCAAAGGATGCTGGTATTTCTGCTTCCAGCTGGCAAAAAGATTCAGAGCCAGTGCCAGGCTTTGGTGGGAATAGACTTGGCTTTCAAGGTATGCTAACACAGATCCAGGAAGGCAGCCTTTTATCAGGCAGAGAGCAAAATTTTCGGAGTCAGGAAGAGCAAAGATGAGAAAGCAGATGGGCGTCACTGGCAAGCCAGATTGGTGGGCTGTGTCCTGGGGAGGGACAAGAGTCTTGGTGTCACAGGGAGGAAAGGACTGGGTGAAGAGACAGGCAGGAGATTCACCCCAACAGTTTGGTGACACAGATCAGATAACCCACAGCAAGGGACGAGGCTCAGATGCTGCCCTGATGCTGAGCACAGCATCGCAAAGAGGTCCAGCCCCAGCACCTTGAGCATCCCCCTGCTGCACTGAGCCTGTGTGGCCTTAGGCAGGCGGCAGAGACAGCGACTGCGAGTGCTTGGGCTGCTGAGAAGCTGATGGTAAGACCTGAAAATTTATGAAGAGCTCTATGAAGCAGGCACCAACGGACACAGGAACATGTAGCGGGGTGATGCACGGTAGGACATGAACCTCGGGGTAGAGGGGATTTTGGGGAATGCCCAGGCTAGCAGAGGAGACCACCTCGGTGCTGGGACCAGCTCAAGTCAGCTAAGTCACTGGATTGTGTATTTAAACTTGCCTTTGATGTAATTCTGTTAGTAAACACAATATACTCTTTGTTACCATTTTATTGTGGGTTTTTTTTTTTGCTTTTTATAGGATTTCTATTCCATTCATTTAGGCCTGAGTATTATAGTGACATGAATGTTTTATGAGATACACGTCATCTAGCTTATTTAAGAAAATGACATCCAAGTAGTTTCCAAAACAAACAGCCTCACAGCTGGTTAGTGTATCACTTCGCACCAGAAAGCCCAGGGAGCAGAAGGGCAGCAGCAATGGAACTTGTTGCTGGAGGGAACGGTGCTAGCATGGAGGGACCCCCACCACAGGGGGCCTCAGTGGTGAGGGGTATGGGGCCGCAGCTGGGCAGTGCTGGGATGGCTGGGCTGTCGGAGCGGGGTGGCTGCAGCAGTGGCAGGAGGCCAGTGCCAGAAGGAACTGGGTGCCCCACGTGCAAAAGCAGCCAGGATGTCCCCCCTGCCCAGCAGAAGGCCTGGGGACGGTGCACCCTCCCTCTGCTCCTCCAACCCAATGCGGGGTGCAAAGACGGAGAGCTCCCAGGCTTTCCCCTCCTTGCCACCCAGCGGGGAACCCTCAGGGATGAAAGGCACTGTAGAAATGTCATGGGCGGTTTGGGGTGCAGATGCTGTGCGGGGGGATGGGGATAGAGCTGGTTTCCTTAGCATCGGTTTGGGGGGGGTTGCCACCTCTTGCCCGATGCTGCCTGCTGGTGTGGATGCGCTGGTGGACTGAATGCACTGGGGACTGAGCTAAATGTCTCCAGGCTCCTCTCCTCACCTCAGCTGTAGGCAGAGGGGAGCGACTGCACTGCTGTTCAGCCAGCAAGGTTGGTAAGGGACAGGCAGGACACGCATCAATGCCACCCACGCTGCAGGACAAGGTGCCCTGGCCTTCTGTGCTCCGTCCTGTCATCCCCATGGATATTCCAGGTGGGGAAAATCCTGTGCTTTGTGCTCAGCCCCACTCCTCCAGGGGCAGGGGTAAACTGAGCTTGGCACAGTGGCTCAAAGCAATGCTGAAGACACCACCTTGGGGGTTCTGGGGCCTCAGCCTGGCTGCATGCACGTGAAATGTGCTGGGGGCAGCCAGAGGGTCAGAGGGAGGCCCAGGAAAGAGGGGGTGCATCCCACTCTAGGAGCAGGGCTGTTGGCAGGATCACTACTGCCCACAGGCTGGGGAGAAGAACTCACCAGGCATGGGATGCTTTTCCTTGTAGCAGGACAGTGTGTCCATGGGGCTAGGCACCACGGAGGGGGGACAGATGTTTTGCATGCCACCATTTTGTGCTGCTGCTGGGAAGTGGACAACCACTGGTTTGGGTCCTTGACTGAGGTGGCTGGGAAGGGAGAAAGAGCCTCTCTCCAAGGCACTGGAGAGCTTTCTTTGGAAGAGTGTGCAGGTGTTAAGAGTTGGGTCTTATCTCAATGGCTTTGTGGGATGGCACCTGCCTCACACGGCTCTCCGGGACAGCAGCATCACCCTGCTGTTTCAAAAAGCCCTTTCTGCTGTTCTCCCACGGTGCTGAGGATGTTCAGCTGCATTTGTTCACCAGGGGCAGGGAGATCCCTGGGGACTGACTGTCCCCTGAGTCACCCCCGCAGGTGGCAGAGTGGCTCCTGGTGTGTCCTCCAGGAAACACCCTGCACCTGAGCTGGCCTGAACCAACATCGCTGCTGCTCTGGTGCACCGGAGCAAGGATGCACCATGACCTGGACCTACCTGGCCTGTACTCCTCCCCGTCAGTGTGGCTTACCTGAGAGGTAGGGGCTTCTCTGCCTAAATCCACCTGTGAGCAGTGATATACTACTGAGGGCTGCTGAGTAGCCAAAGGAAGATGAACGGGAAGCTGAAAGAAGGGTCTGGGACAGAGAGGAGATGCCAAGAAGAATAAGTGAATGGGGACAAGAGAAAGTGATAAACCACCCATCTAAACATGAAATCTATGGCTTCCAGTCCTGATGCTGAATGCATGTGGCCTCACAGCTACTATCTCCTCCAAGGCATTATAAAGCTCCTGTCTCAACTTCCTGACTGACTCTGAGAAAAATTATTTCTCTGGTAGGAACCACTCCACCCTCTAACATGAATTGCCCCAAGAGTGCAGGATGGCAGACAGACAAGGTCTTTCTCACCTGTTCTTGTTTGGGGAGCACATGGAGGAAACCAGCAGCTGGGTTTGGTGAAGACAGAGAAGAAGAAGCCCTGTAGATACCTACAAGATGCTGCCACCCTGTTCCACCCCTGCGATGGCTCCATGGACCACAGCAGTGGTGGGTTTGCCCCCAGCAGGCTTTGGGCTACAAACTGGTCCATGCTGCACTGTTCCCTCAATGGACCAGCTCACTGCATCCACAGCCCAGGGAGTACCACCTAGCACAAACAGCCAGGCACTGAAGAGCAGCCTGGCTGACTGACTGACTCTGGAGGCCTTCACATCCTTGAGCTCAGGCCACCAGGAGCATCCACCATGCTAGGGCAGTCCATTGCAGAAGAGGAGGAGGGAGGTGGACTGCAGCAGCAGCCCCCAGCAGAATGGAGCATGGAATGGCAGTGGCATGCAGACCACAGGCACGGCAGGAGGTGGAGGAGGAGAGATGGAAGCATGGGGTGACTTGGACAGATGGGGGACATCAGACTCACAATGTTAGAGGCACAACTTTTTACGATCCTTTTTTTTTTCTTTTGTCATCAGAGACGAAGTAGAATGAAACTAAAGTATACAGGATAAAATTAAAATCACAGTTTTGTTTACATTATAAAAGAATGATCTAATAGTAATAATAATATCAAATTAACAATAATAATTAAACAAAACAGGAAAGAAGAAAGCCCTGGAGAATTCCTGCCTGGATGGTGCTCACTGATGGAAGGTTTGTGTGACTGGTTTTATTGTTTGGGGATCATTCCCTTGATAGCTGACTCCCGGTTTACATATGTGGCCCAGTAGACTAAGTTGAAAATGGCAAAGAGGACTGGAAAGACGATGCGGGACATCTTGTCTACCTTGCTGACGCTGTTGTATGTCTTCTTACTCTCTGGGAGCTTCTCCTCTATGCGGGGCATCTTGGGGGGTACGTTGGTGGCAGTAGCCGTGGCAGCAGCGCTCTTGGAGATGGTGGGCAGGCCAGGGTCCTTGGCAATGTTGAGGGCATATGTGGTGCCAACAATGTTGTAGGTGTTGTTGGTTTTCTTCGCTAATGCCACTGGCTCTTTTTTCTAGGGAAGGTGGAAGAAAAAACATAATAAAGATGAAGTGACTGTAGACCTGCATGGAGAATATTTTGTCCTCTGAGTTTACCAGACTGGATGAGAAGATGGAAAAGGGTTGAGGGGAGCAAGAGACCAAGAAGAAGGCATTGTGGAAGGGAAGGAAGATGTGGTGAGAATACGGCCAGAACCCATGACATCTATCACTTGAGGGCTGCTGGAGCATAAGGACGTGCTGGGCTAGGGTGGACCAGCTACTTCATGTAAGTCTGGCATGCAGCACAGCACAAAGAGGTCCTGGACTGGCAGCTAGTCAAATAACTGAAGCCACATGGCTGGGTTTGTAGTCCCCTTGCAGCCCCTTCGATCAGAGTAGTGGTATAAAAAGGTGTGCGCAGACGCACTCGAGCAGTAGCTGCCCCAGACGGGTGACCCCTTGATTGGTCGAGTGCTGCCAGTTCTGTGTTGCTTATTGCGGGGTCAGTATAAGTGAATGCAGGCTCAAACTGTACAGAATCTTTGTTTTCTCACTCAACTGGGTAGTGTTTTATGTTGCTTCAGCCATGGAGAGATGATGCACGAATGCAGTCTTTAGAAAAGAATGACAGCCTGTGTGGTCATGCGGGGAGGAAGAACTTGATTTTTGGCTTTGCTGGCCTGCTTCCTGGGTCAGGTGAGAGGAGGAGATATCACAGAAGATTATAGCTCCATTTTAATTTTTTTTTTTTTAACGGAAAGCCAGTGGCTTTAAGAATGTGTGTGACAGCATCACAATATTTTTGCACCATATTACAAGACCATATCATACACTGACTCAGTGCCCTGAATACCTCACAGGAATACCTCAACTTAACATCATGATGTCTAAAATGTCTCTGAGACCCTTCAGAGCGCCTCATGACCTACCCAGGTAAGATATAGAACAGATGGAAGGCATTTGCACTAGTCCTGGATTTCAGGATTGCTCAACACAGCACTATAGGGCAGAGGGGAACCTTTCATCTTGCTTTCATATCTAAGTGCGGCTGCAAATCAAGGGACATAAGTGCACTCCTCCCACAAGGCTCCAGGGACAGCCATGCTGTCCATGCTGAAGGGAGAAGAGCTTACATAGCCAATGCCAAAAGAGGCACTTATGTGTCAGACATGGTGTACTGAAGAATGATGGAAGATGCTGAAGACAGACAGTTCAGATGTTAATGAAGATGACTGAACAGGAAGACAGAGCTCGGAAGTCATGATAGGTGTTACCCCCACTCTGAGGATCTTCCTGTTGCTGTCAGGGGCCTGAGACCAGCTCCACCATAGACCATATCGTATAAAGCAATACAGGTCTACCAGGAGAAGCCTGCTGAATGAAATCTATTCATATGCAGACACCCTACATGTCCCAGCACTCATGTACTCCATGCAGTGTCCACTGTAATCACACCAAGAACCAGCATTAGACACAGCAATGACTCATGGTGGGAATCTAGTATCTAAACTTAGACAAGGTGTGGCTTTGAATTTCATTTTCTGTTCAAAAGCAACTGAAACACAAGGTAAGGCTTATCCAGGCGTTTCCCAGGGATGCTTGGCACAGTCTTTCATGTACAGGTGAGGGAACCACATACACAGTGATTGTCAGGAGAAGGGGAGAGTGTGCAGTCAGCAGGACCTGTTCATCTCCCCACCCTAACCTGGGAATTGGTAGCAGGCAGCATTGCTGAGTAGCACTGGGAGCTGGAAAGGCCAGATTCACCCAGTCTGCTCTGCAGAGATACTCCAAGGTTTCATGCTGTACTTCCATTTAAAATGTGTCCACAATCACCACAGATATTTCTCGTTACCTCAGTAAATTAATTTTCCACAGTGATTTTCAGAGGGACACTAAAAGCGGACTTCTTTGCAATCTTTAAACACCTCCCCAATAACATCATAGCCAGGCCTGCAGCTTTGTAATAATGCCAGCAATTACAGAAATGAACTTACTGTTAGAAGGAGGTCTAAATGTCTTCAGACTCCAAATCAGACTAAACCACTGATCACACCATATTATTCATAGTCTTTTATGGGAGAGGGTGTTATGATCTTTAACGATTAACTGAGAGACTGATTTCTGCAATCATTAGAGCCATGT